ACCGCGGTTGACTACGTGGGAGTCGAGCGACATAGCCATTACGCTAACTGCTGGTTCCCCACGACACTTTTTGATAGGAAAAACATAGAGGGGTGAGTAAGTGGCGTAGTAATTAAGACACTGGACTCCCATACGGCCAACAGTGGTTCAAGTCCTGGACCCAGCAGCTTCAAACTCAAGCCAGGCACATATGCATGCATGCCCAAAATCCTGAGAGAATGGAGGGGGAAGGATTGCGCGTGGCCATCCCCTGTGGGGGGTGATTTCTCACTTTGTCTCTTTGTCTCTGACTCTCCAGCAAGTGCACCTGCCCCATGGCGAAAGCCTCTCAAAAACAAACAAACAAACAAAAAACTGACAAATATGTCATGACTTTTCCAAAGACTCAACAGAACACAGGAACAATATCTACCACATAAGCACTGGAAGATTAAATACGGAGCCAGATTGTGGTGCAGGGGTGACACATCTGGATCCACATGAGAAGGTCCTGAGTTCTCATCCTGGGACCTTCTTGTATTCACCAGGCACATCCGCAAACCCACTATCTGAGTTGCCTCAGTCTGCAGCCTGAGGACCCAGTTGGGGGTACCTGTCTCTCTCTCTTTCTCACACTCAGTCTCATTCTCTGAAGAAACTAATAATAATAGTCTAGCCAGACGTGATGCAATGCTTTGTGATGCCAGACCTACCTGGGAAGGTCCCAGGTTTGAGTCCAAGGGCTCCCTCTACACATACCCCATAATCTGGGCTGGCTGAGACCTGGGGGTGCAGACTCTGTTAGGGATGCCTGTCTGTTTCATTCATGTAGAAAAATAAACTTTAAAGTAAGGACAAAATAGGGGCCAGCTGTCGTGGTGGTTAAGGAGTGGACCGTGGTACCAGTCCTGGACCTAGCAGCTTGCTCTCTCACTTTCTCTCTCTCTCGTCAATTTTTTTTAACAGAGAGATTTTTGCTATAGGGCACATGTGCTCACCAGAAAGAGAGAGAAACAGACAGCAAGAAATCCCCCCCACCCTGGGAGGGGGGGGGATATAGATACGCCACAATCCCTTCTCAATTCTTCTTTCAGATCCCGGGCACATAGGCATATGCGCTGGGTGAGTTTAAGCCACCAGGTCCAGGACTCCAATCGCAGTCGGCCACGTAGAAGTCCAGCGACTTAATTATTACGCCCACCTGCTTGCACTCTCTCTGATCACATTTTTTAAAATAATAGTAATAGGGGACCAGCAGGTGGAGTGCTGGTTAAGGTGCTGGACACACTCACATGGCTGACCATGGTTCAAGTCCTGGACCTGGTGGCTTTCTCTCTCTCTCTCCCTCCCTCTCTCCCTCCTTTCCTCTCCCCCCTTCCCTCCCTCTGGTAAAATTAAAAACATAAATAAATGAATAAATTTTAAAAATAAAATAAGTCTTTAAAAAAAAAATAGTAATACAGGGAACCAGCAGTTAGCATAATGGCTATGTCACTGGACTCCCACGTAGTCGACCGCGGTTCGTGTCCCAGCCCTGGTGGCTTAAAACTCAAGCCAGGCGCGTGTGCGTGCGTGCCCAAGATCCCGAGAGGAGAATGGAGGAGAAGGTATTGCGGCGTGACCATCCCCCCAGGGGGTGATTTCTCGCTTTCTGTCTCTATGTCCTTCTCTGTCTGTCTAGCGAGCGCACGTGCCCTATAGCGAAAAAACCTCTCCAAAAATAATAATAAGGATAATAGATAAAATTGGATGTAATCATTCTTTTAAAAAAAAATACAGTAAGGACAAAATAAAGATAGAGTAAGACGATGCCCATAAAGCAGTAAGCACAGTGCCTGGCACCCACTGAGTGACTCCATTAGTGGTAACTGCATTACTACTTCTCACCCTTCTCTCTGTATCAAAGGTCTGCCGTCCCGCCCCCATTCAGGACAGCCCAGGGAAGGCAAAGACCTTTCTGCCGTTTCTGCTGTGATCAGAATGATAAACTAGAAGTTTAATAGGACTGTGAGGAGCTGGGTGAAGGAGCAAGTTCCCACTCTAACAGCGTCTCCAGGTGGCTGCCTTCCCGGCTGGAAGGGGCCCCAGAGAGCCTGCTGGCTTGCTGGGGGGTGCCTTGGAAGGCGCCTGTGTTTTTCTTCCCTGTCCTTTATGCAGGCATCTGGGCAAGAGCGGCCTCCTTAAGTAAGTGGTCCAGCAGGTGGACTCCAGCATGGGTTTTGACGTCAAAGAAACAGGGAGCCATTTACCAGCAGTGCAAACTCGGGCAGGTTACTTAGCCTCGCTGAGCCTTGGCGTCCTCATCCGTGACTTGGAGATACCGATGGGACCTAGCTCACTGGGCTGGTGGAAGGCTTAAATGAGATAAAGTACTGTGCTACGCCCAGTGGCTAGCTCCCAATAAAGCCCCAATATATGTCTGCTACTCGTTAGGATTCATAATAATAATAAGGACCAGCAATTGGCATAATGGCTATGTCTCTGGACTCCCGTGTAGTCGACCGCTGTTCGAGTCCAGGACCAGGTGGCTTAAACCAACACCAGGCTTGTGTGCGTGCGTGTCCAAGATCCGGAGAGGAGAAGGGATTGAAGCATGGCCATTCCCCCGGGGGTTGATTTCTCGCTTTCTGTCTTTCTCTGTCTCTCTGGCAAGCAAATGCGCCCTACAGCAACAAGCTCTCCAAAAAAATAACTACTACTACTACTAATAATAAAGCGCGCATCGTAGAGGACAAGCCTCACTGACGCGTAACACACGGTCCTGCTCACTAACAGATGGCTGCTGAAAGGGGCCTGGGCTGGACCCCAGCTCTCCGCCCCCAGCCCCCGACCGCGAGCAAGCGGCGGGTGCACCGCGGGAAGGCGTCGGGGAGCAGCGGAGATGAGGACGCCGGAAAGAGGCAAGGCGTGAACCGCGGGTCTTCCCGCAGGTGAAGGGGCGTCGCCCGGATGGACCTCGCTTGGCCGCGTCATTTCAGGCACCCCCGCCCCGCCCCCGGCCCGGCCCGCACTCACCCTCCAGGCCGCGGGCGGGAAGGCCCAGCACCCACAGCAGTCCCTGCCACCAGCCGAGGAGCCTCATGGCGCGGGGCCGGCAGTGGCCGAGACCACCTCCCAGGCCCAAGGGCAACCGGCGCACGGCGACGCGAGTCGCACGGCCAGCTCTCGGAAGGCTGGGGGAGGAGAGCCCGGGAGCGGGGGCGGGGCCCGGGGGCGGGGGCGGGGCCCGCGCCGCCATCTAAGATAAGCCGTTACTTGAGTATCTCGTAGGCAGTGAGAACACTCTTACTATGAGAGACGTACCTTATTTGCTGTCTGACAACCCTAGCCCCACCTACTCAGGGGAGAGACCTTTTTTGCTGCTTGGTTGGTTTTAACAAACTCACCTACAGGGCAAGAGATTTTTGCTCTAGGGCGTGGGTTTGCTAGAGACAGAAGGAGAAAAAGAAAGGGAGAACTCTCTCTTACACATACACACACACACACACACACACACGGGGGTGGGGGGGCAGCTAAGCAACAGTCCTTCTCTTGGGATTTTGGGCGCATGCACGCGTGCACACTCTGCCGGCAGGAGTTTAAAGCTGCAGAGTCTGAGACTCGAACCTAGATCACCGATGTGATCCCACACACTGCTCCAACCATGTGGGAGTCCAAGGCCTTAGCCACTACCCAACTGCTGGCACTCATTCCTTCAACCAGCCAGGGGGACCAGCGGGTAGCTAGTGATTAAGGCGCTGGGCCTAGGTGCCCAAAATCCTGAGAGGAGAGTGGAGAAGGGATTGCGGTGTGGCTACCCCCATGAGGTGTGAGGCGATTTCTACTACCCCCCACCCCAGCCATTGAGTGCATGTACCCTTTGACCAAAAAAAAAAAAAAAAAGCCTAAACCACCCTTAACTGGGGTGCTGCGCACTGCAGCTGAGGATCAGGGCTCTGTGTCCCCGCATAAAAATACAAAGGCAGGGAACCAGCAGTTAGCGTAATGGCTATGTCGCTGGACTCCCACATAGTCGACCGCGGTTCGTGTCCTGGACCCGGTGGCTTAAAACTCATGCCGGGCGCGTGTGCGTGCGTGCCCAAGATCCCGAGAGGAGAATGGAGGAGAAGGGATTGCGGCGTGACCATCCCCCCTGGGGGGTG